TGCGGCATAGCTGGTAAAAGCTTGTCGTCCGTCAGGGATTTTTTCAAATTCTCGCACGTACTTCAATTTGCTGGGTTGTCTTGCCGCTACCTCGAAGCATGCAGTTCAAGTGGTTTTTACTCTCTCTCTTTAACATGCATGGGCAGGAATGGCTATGGCTTTGCTTGGCTGTGATGTCACTGCGACAGACATACAGCCAGTGCTACCCATTCTGAAACGGAATCTGAAGAGGAACCTTACCTCGCTATCTGAGGCTTACAGATCGACATTCTCAGCTCCAGGGAAAATAAAGCCTGTGCAACTCTACTGGGGCAATGAGGTGCACATTCGCTCGGTCAAGCCTCCCTTCGACTTCGTCATTGTGACTGACGTGGTGTACATTGAGGAGGACGTTGAGCGGCTGATTAGCACAATGGCAGCAGTCAGTGACAAGAAAACGACGCTGGTGCTTGGCTACAGGCTACGACAACAGGAGGCCCATGACAAGTTCTGGAGTCTACTACCTTCCACGTTTGTGGTAGTGAGAAAGATCGAAAAGGAAGAGCTACATGGAGATTTCTCGTTTGCCGGAGTTGACTTGTACATAATAATTCTGAAGTGACGAGCAGTCCCACTTCAGAGTCTCCCGACGCAGATAACGCACGTAGTCTAGTTTGATCGCTAGTATAACCTTGGATGTTAACATCCGGCACAGCGCCTTGTCCAGATGAAGTCATAAGTTACCGGGGGGGGGGGGGGGGTGGGGCGAGAAAAAACAGAGAGTGCTCCCTTGGAAAGTGGGAGAAGTGGGAGATACATCACCATTCTTCCAGCAGCGGACATGTCACTAAATGAAATGGCCATCACATATAATCATGAAATTATGTACGAAAAAGTTGCCAACATAAAAAATCTTCAGCGGACATGATTCAGCCAAACAAGCTCAAAGGTTCATGAGGTCATTACTGATGTACCTCACACACTGAATCCCAAACAACTCTACTTGCCCCCCCAAATGATACCACCATGAGTGGCGAAGAAAGGAGCAAAGACCAGCGACTCCACAGCCATCAGCTTAATCAGGATGTTCAGGGACGGGCCAGACGTGTCCTTGAGGGGATCACCGACAGTGTCACCAATGACAGCAGCCTTGTGAGGATCGGAGCCCTTGGGACCAAGGCTCTTGGCATGAGCTGAGTTGCCAGCCTCGATGTACTTCTTGGCATTGTCCCACGCACCACCAGTGTTGGATGCAGAGATGGCAATCTGGACGCCAGAGACCAGCCCACCCGCCAGCATACCAGCCAGAGTGGTGGTTCCGAACAGGGTGCCCGCAATGACAGGGCTCAGCATCACCAGGGCGCCAGGAGGAATCATCTCACGAAGGGAGGCGGCAGTGGAGATCTCCACGCACTTCTTGTAGTCCGGCTTGGTAGTTCCCTCCATGAGGCCAGGCATCGTGTTGAACTGGCGACGAACCTCCTCCACCATAGCAAGGGCAGCCTTGCCCACACTCTTCATTGTCATGGCAGAGAACCAGTAGGGAAGCATGGCACCAACCAGAAGTCCAACAAAGGCCTGCAACACAACAAGGAGCAAGAGACTGTTACTCCATCAGCACCATTTGGGAAGGTGTGAATTTGCCCAATCGAGACTCCCAAAAAGCATACCTGAGGCTCAGTCACGTTGACAACCTGAACCTTAGCCCGGCTGACATAAGCTCCAAACAGAGCAAGGGACACAAGCGCCGCGGAACCAATGGCAAAGCCCTGCAAAAAAGAGGCAGTGTAAAATGTCAGATTAACACCAAGAGGACACCGACAACATACAACAAATAGCCACGAGCTGCACATCTCACCTTGCCAATAGCCGCAGTGGTGTTCCCAGCAGCATCAAGAGCATCAGTGCGCTCACGGATCTCCTCACCCATACCCGCCATCTCAGCAATGCCACCAGCATTGTCACTGATTGGCCCATAGGCATCAATGGCCAGACCGGTTGCCAGAGTGCTCAGCATGCCAAGAGCGGCCAGGGCAATGCCGTACATGCCAGCGAACTGGAAGCTCACATAGATTGCGGCAGCAATAGCGAACACGGGAATGATCACGGACTTGTAACCAAGGGCAAGGCCAAAGATGATGTTGGTGGCGGCACCAGTACGACAAGAGTCAGCAACGTCTTGGACAGGCCTGGAGTTGAAACAGGTTTGAAGTCAGTGATTCGTTCTCTTCATTCATATGCCAGCTGCATTTTCGTTGCAGACGGTATTGCAAAAAAATGGAAACGGGAAAGCACACACCCACACACACAACATTCACTTACACATAGGCGTTGCTCGTGAAGTACTCGGTGACAAAACCGATGAGGAGACCGGCCCACAGCCCGGATGCGACGCAGGCGAACGCATACCTGCAAAATAGGTTGGATAAAAAAAGTTCCAGCATGTTGGAAAAAAGGTTGGAAAAAAAAAGTCATCGGTGACAAAACCGATGAGGACTGCGTTCCAAGGTCCCAGCGCCATTCATTTTTGCAATCCTGCTTACCAGTTCTGGACAACCTTCTCGCCCTGGCCGACGACAGTGATGTTGAAGGTCGGGGGAAGTGCATACAACGCAACGAGGAAGATCACAGGAGTCATCAGCACAGTGGAGATCACCAGCTGCTTTTTCAATGCGGGCTCGATCTCAGCCTTCTCCTTCACTTGCTGAACATCCGTTGCGATGATGGTCGTGATCAGGCACACAAGAATACCGGCACCGCTGATCAGAAGAGGGAAGCACATGGCGGAGAAATCATGGTCCTTTCCAGGCTGCGAGAGGGCTGAGATCACAAGGGCGGCGCACGTCGACTCAGCGAAGGAGCCGAACAGGTCAGAACCCATGCCAGCAATGTCACCCACATTGTCTCCCACATTGTCAGCAATCACCTGTACACACACAAACAAAGATGGTTAAGAACGTCGTCACACGATCAGGGTTTAAAGCTTATAAACATAAAAATCTTGACCGCAGTACTCACAGCAGGGTTCCTGGGATCATCCTCGGGAATGTTCCTCTCGACCTTGCCCACAAGATCCGCACCGACATCAGCAGCCTTGGTGTAAATACCACCACCAACACGACCGAACAGGGCAACAGATGAGCCGCCAAGACCATAGCCAGTGATGGACTCGTACAGACCAGCCCAGTCATCACCATAATACTTCTTGTATGCAAGAATGGTCAGAAACAACACGAGCAGTCCGTTAGCAGACAAGAGGAAACCCATGACGGATCCAGCGCGGAAAGCAGCCACGAAAGCAGCAGGGATTCCCTTCCTGGCCTCCAAGGTGGTTCTCGCGTTAGCATCTGCAACATCAACGAACAACTAGAGAAATTCGGATAAGTATCAATGGACGACCTGATGCAACGGTACCAGGGAAAACACGGAAAAGGAATAGCACCTACAAGTAGCAATCTTCATCCCGAGGTATCCAGAACCCGTCGATGTCAGAGCTCCGAGGATAAAGGCCAAGGTGCTGAAACCAGCGTTGGCGATGCCCTGCTTATCGAAGTTGTCGACGGATCCGAGAAAGAGGAAGATGATCACGGAGAAGCCGCTCATGAAGACGGCCAGGTACTTGTACTCCGTGGTCAGGAACGACTCAGCACCTGTTAGAAGACAAATAAGGTTGTAAGATTTCCGTTTATATAGAAAAAGCTAGGGGAAAGCATGCGGGGTAAATGTTTAATACACTTACCCATGGAGATGGCGGACTGGATCTCAGCAACCTGCTGGATGACAGTGTCCGCAGTCCCATCTTCCAGGAGGCCGTACTGGCCATCGGGAGCACCGCCAACACGGATGCGGGAGACCATGAACCATTGGAAGATAGCGAAGAGAATGCCAACAACTGCAGTTGCTGGAATGAAGGAATTCAAAAACACCTCAGGAAGAGACCCCACAGCATGCTTAGAGACCTCCGTCAAGAGGGGGGTAGCTGCCTCCATGGTCAGCGGCTTCTGCACCAGAAGCGTCTATTCTCAAAGAGGCTGCAGTTCCAATCCAGACCAGTCCCTGCAGGAACACGGAAACGAAAGATGCTAAACTGAGACTTGCTTCAGCTTATCTTCAATCTGGTCCCCGCAAGACTTGGGTTGGGGGGAATACAGGACGGTTTGGTTCCGCAGATTCCAATTTCTCCTCCATTTGGCGGTTCAAGGGTGGTCCCTGCCCAGATACCTTGGGATTCCACGCCTGACCTGGCTGCTGACACGTCTGCCGCTGGATTGTTATTGGGGTTTCGGTAGCCGCGCAGCGTCCACGTATGAAAATGCCAGACAGCATGCGTGTGCCCCCCGAGTTTGCGGTCCAGGTTTCCAGTCAACCAGCTTTCCTCGGCTTTGTTTTGTTCATACCTTCTATCAACCAGATGGAAGTGTACTAATATTATGCGTATGTTCAAGCGTGTATTCTGCAACCCTCATCAACTGGACGTCACGTTTCAACCATCCCAACCGTTTATCTGGCGTTAGCTCACACAAATCCAGCGGATACGATGGGCTGTCACATGATGCGTCAGCAAAGCGTCCTCAGCGAGGACAGATTCCTCTACGGGGAACCACAAAGTGAATTGTGGCAGTGTTGTCGGAGGTGGGTGGACCCCCTCTTCTGCTCATTTGCATCTCACGTTCTCGAAAAATACATCAGCCTGGTGTGCCTCTGCCTGCCGTGCCTTAGCCATCTGTGGCTTAGCGAGATGCGCAGCAAGCACCGTCCGCCATGGAGGGAGGCTCATGGCGGACGGCGCCCTTCAGCAGGTATTACACCACCAAGGGTGTACGTCAACATTTTTGGTAGAGTTAACTCCCCTGGCGATACCATCAACAGTAGTGTTCGGCCTGTCCGAAAGGCCTCTGCGAGTCGTTCACCCCGCCGTAATTCTCCCCTCACGGCTTCTAACGACGATGCAGACGATGGGGGCACCGACGCGGACGGCTCGGCGTGCAACGCCGCTGACGACGAAGACGATTGGTGGGCAAGGCCCATCGGATCCGACGATGAAGTAGAAGAATGGCACGCGGGCATCGATGCTGGCGGAGGGGATGGTGCCGCTACAGGCGACGAGAACGCCTGCGGGGTGGGCGACGATGCGGCCGACGAGAACGCATGCGGGGTGGGCGATGATGCGGCCGACAAGAACGCGTACTGGGAGGGTGACGATGCGGGCGAGTATCCGAGCGGTGAGGAAGGCAACGATGTGGACTACGACGAGGCTGACGATGCTGCCGACGACACGGGCGACGAATCGGGTGACGCTGCTGACGACGACGATGACTTCGATGCAGTAGCGGCGTCGGCGGGGCGATGTCGTGGCGGGGCAAAGCTGCGGAGCTCGAAGCGGATGGCTGACAAGATGGAACGCGTCGAGTGCGATGCCACTAACGACAACTCGACCGATGAGGCGGGTGGCATGTCCGACGAGGACATGCCGATCCAGAAACGCCGTGTTCTCTTCGAGGTGCACGGTCGCAAGCGCCAGCTGGACGGTGCTGACAACGACAAACACGGAGGAACAAAGCGAAAGAAACCGACCAAACAGTCCCCAGCAAAGCGTGGACGGCTGTCGAGGGAGGAGAAAGGGAAAGCAAAATCCCGGGAAGAGCACAGCATCGGCAAACGCAAGCGAGCCGCCGGCAACGACACGCAAAAGTCCGCCAAGCGGAACACCAGCCATCCAGAAGGCGATATGGCTGAGGAGAACTCCGACGACGCCTACGCGGAAGCGGCTGGCCCCATCCCCGTGTTCCCCGAAGGCAAGAAGCCCAGTGATCCAAGGACCAAGAACCCCGACGCGCAACCACCCTCGCCGCGTAGTAAAGCCAACAAGAAGCAGCGACGCAGCTTCACGGTCGGCGAGAAAGCGCGGTGGGCGTTGCGGTATCACGAGCTGGGGTCACTCATGCGGACGGCACAAGAAGCGGGCGTCGGACAGTGCTCCATCCACCGCTGGGTGGAGGCAGATATGAAGGGAAAGTACAAGGGGGCTGCGAAGTGCAGGAAGAGGCTGCATGGTTCTGGCCGACACGCGCATCACCCCGAGATGGAGGAGGCGCTCGCCAAGTATGTCTGCGAGCAACGGAGTCGGGGCCTGGCGGTCAGCGTCAATGACATTCGGGAATGGAGCCGAAAGTACATGCGCAGACGCGACCCACGTACCAGGTGGCAGGGGTCGAACCGATGGAACCAACGGTTTCGCAAGCGGTGGGGATTCACACTACGCTGCCGAACGAAGGTTGGGCAGAAGCTCTCTCCAGGTAAGCTTCTTGTGTCCTCTGGGTAAGTGTATACCTCTGTATCTGCGTCTGTCTCTGTGCTGAGCCTTTGTTCTTTGAATCTGTCTGTTGTGCAAAGCTTCTGTTCACTGTCTCTGCATTCGTCTCTTGTGCAGAGACGTGCCTCTGTCTTGTGTCTATGCACTTGCTAAGGCCCCTCCGCCCCTGCCCCTTCCCGCCCACCACAGAATGCGCCGCGGACTGTGAGGGGTTTTGGAAGTTCGTTCGCATCAACCGTGCCCGTCATCAGATGGACTTACGCCGCATCATCAATGCCGATCAAACTCCTCTTTTCGTGGAGATGCCAGCTGGCCGGACGTTGGAGCAGAAGGGGTCCCGTTCGGTGCCGGTGAAGACCGCTGGATACGAGAAGCAACGCTTGACCGTGATGCTAGCATGCACGGCCAGCGGCGACAAGCTCCGGCCGTGGGTATGGTTCAAGCACAAGACCATACCCAAATGTGAATGTCCCTCGGGTAAGCCTTCCACGTCTTGCTCTCCATGCACTCCTGAACCCTCCTATGCTGTGAGCGTACGACCTGTTGTTTGACTCACATAAATCCAACTTGTGCGTGCGTTCTGCAGGGGTCGAAGTGCAAGCGCAGGAGAACGGCTGGATGGATGAGGCAGCCGTCAAGAAGTGGCTGGAGAAAGAGGTTCTCCCCTTTCTCAACCCGAAGCGTGGGGTGCCAGCACGACGTGCCATGCTTGTGCTAGACTCGTACCGTGGCCATCTCACCGATGGGATGAAGCACGCGTACAGGACGCATTGCATCATCCCTGCCATCATTCCGGTTGGGTGCACTCCGCTGATTCAACCCCTTGATGTTTCCATCAACAGGTGTTTTAAAGCGGGGGTGAGGGCATGCTATGCAAAGTGGTTTGCAAAGCACGGCATCAACCTACGCACGGCCAAAGGTACGCCAGCAATTCTGATTTCTCCCCGCCCGCATCCCTGAATGCACGCCGCCCGTGACCTTGAATGCACCTTGCCCGCATTTCTGGCTTCTTCCCTGATTTTCTCGCTCGAATCACTTGCCTGTCAAATCCGTGACTGATGCCTGTGCTAGTGCTCTTTGAAATCCCTACTCCAGGAAACCTGCGCCGCCCGCCCCACCCCGTGGTACTGAAGTGGATTGACCAAGCATGACGCGATGTGCCACGTGACATCATCGTGCGAGCATTCAAGACCTGCGGCATTTCAAGCTCCATGGATGGTACAGACAACTACTTGGTGCTCCAGCACATGCGTGGGGAGCCAGCTCTCAACGTCTCTGAAGACATGTCCCTGCAAGGGACGAGTGGTGACAATGCAGGTTTCGTGGAAGAGCAGGAGGCAGAGGAGGGGGAGGCGGGAGAGGAGGGAGAGGAGGGAGAGGAGGGAGAGGAGGGAGAGGAGGAGGAGGAGGGGGTGAAGCGCCAGAGCCAGGAGAGGAGGATCCGTACCCAGAGACTAAGAAGTGCCGTGGCGCAGCAGCAGAAGCCAAGAAGCTGACTGAGCATGAGAGCACTACGAGGCATGCCTGGGGGGTGCTAGATTACATCAAGCACCCCCGAGGAGGACCAGTAGATGAGGAGGAGGGGGGCTGTGATTTTAGTACTATGGAGACCCATGAGGATTTCTAAGAGACTACTCTTGTCCTATCTGCATTGATGACTGAATGCATAGAATTTTGCCATACTAGAATAACATCTTAAAAAAAGGGGGGGGGGGGCTTATCTCATACCGCCAAGTGAGGGTCTTATAAACGGAATGCCATAATACAAGATAGACGCCTACTATAAGACCCAGGGTCTTCTATTACTAGGGGGTATTCTATCCGGGCTAATACGGTAGTAGCGCGATACCTCAAATGGAAAGACGCGCGTGATGACATTTGCAGTAGTGAGTCAACACGTAAATAGAAGGTTCGCGCGTATATTAACCAGAAGGGTCACACAAGTCTCACTCACACGAACAGTCACTAGTCATATCACGCGAATAGTCGCGATATACTACGAATAGGTACTTCAGAGTCTATAAATATGCATGTATTATACTTATTATTATAAATCTTTGTCATTTCTGACATTTCCAATACAAGGCCGCTAACTTTTACCCGTGGTTCCAGCTAACAAACTGAAAGAATTACTAGAATGTGAGAGTACAAGGCATTATAACCTTGGATGCTGTACTCTCTTAGGCACAACCCTATATGGTCTATAACATCACACGCAAATATCTTTGACACACCCCCTAGATTGGATAGGGGCAGTGTCTGTTGAGAGACAAGCAGCTCAGGGAGGCACTACTAGTCCAACCTCTGAGGCAAGGGTCTAAAGACTAGTCAAACAAGTACAAACCAAGGCAAGAGCAAGACCAGGGCGGCACTACTAGTCCAGCCACTAGGAGAGGCCACAAGGCCAGTCAAGGTAAACTATATATAAAGGTCTGTACAAATCAAGGCCCTAGCAAGTGAGAGGCTACAGGAACGAGACTTAGCTGTACACACTACCGCTGATGATCTTTAGGCGCAAGCGTCTTCGTAAAGATATCAGCTGTGTTGGCACCGGAGGCCAAGTGTACTTCGCGAGCCTGGCGGCGCTGCTGTAGCTCGCACATGAGGAAGTACCGTAGCCGGATGTGCTTCGCTCTACCCTCAAGTCGAGGCTCCTGGCACAAGAGGATCATGACCCAATTGTCAGCGTACAGGACCGGGGCAAAGCTAGGCCGCTCACCTAAGTCGGTGAGCAAGAAGGTCAACCAGCGGAGCTCCTGTGCCGCCATGGCACCAGCGTAGATCTCAACCTGATAGCTAGATTGGGCAACAGACGAGGAGCGAGTAGCTCTCCACGAGACGGCACCTGAACCAAGGCTAAAGCAGTAGCCCTGCGAGGATCTGAGGGTCTCAGCGTCGTCTGCCCAAGAAGCGTCTGTTGGCCCAGTAAGGACCACTGACATGCGTCCTCCTAGCACTAACCCCATGCTTGATGTACTTTCTAGACAACGCAAAACCCTCTTAGCGGCCGACCAGTGCTGTGGTTGGTGTCTGCCTGTGGCCACAAAGCGAGCCCAAATGCTAAGAGGGTATGCGAGATCTAGACGAGTGCAAATCATCAGCTACATGAGGCAACCCACCAGCTCTGCGTAAGGACCACTGAGCTCTACTGACTCCTTTGGAACTGGAGCTGAGAGCCTGTGATCTACAGGCAGAGGTGTGCGCTGTGCGGAGGAGAACCGAAGACCGAACCTTTGAAGGACCTTGCGCACCAAGTGTGACTGCGTGATAGTGATGGTGCGCGCTGCTCTATCCCTGGAGATCTGGAGGCCAAGGTAGTGGCGTAGTTCTCATAGACTAGTGCAGATGTGTCTCTTCAGCAGTTCTGCCTTCATGGAGACCAGTGCGTCCCTGTCTGCAGTGGCGAAGACAAGGTCGTCTACGTAATCAAGGATCTAGAACAGGGTCTGGCTAGTACGAAAGAAGAGCGAGGGGTCTGGAGAGGACGGAAAGAACTGCAGGTCAGCAAGGGTAGCACGCAGTGTGTCGTGCCACTCCCGAGGCACCTGTCGCAAGCCGTAGACTGGGCGCCGCAGTAGCCACTGGGTCCCAGAAGGGAAGGTACCACTGAAACCCTGAGGGCGGCGCAGGTAGACCTGCTCGTGTAGGCTCCCTCAAGAAAGTGGGGAAGTCGAGAGAGTGTAACTCCTAGTCACGCTGTACTGCTACGTATAGCATTGCCCGAAGAGTAGTCATCTTCGGGGTCGGGGCGAAGGTCTGAAAGAAGTCCACCCCCTTACGCTGACTGAAGCCTCTAGCTACGTAGCGCGCCTTGAATACAGGCGGCTCTCCAGGAGGGTGCTTCACCTTGAAGAGCCACCGGCCATCGACTACATTCACCCAAGGTGGGGGAACTGCGCCGATGTAGGTGCCGGTGGATCTCCAAGATGCCATCTCCTGCTCCATGGAAGCTATCCACTGAGAGGCCCAGGGTCCTGAAATCGCCTCCGCGTAGGTGCGAGGGGTCGGGGTGTCGAAAGCGTCTGGGTCACCCTCAGGGACTAGCAGCATGGAACAGAGATGGGGAGCAGCCTCGGACAGGAAAGCAAGCTCGTATTGGCGGTCCTCCAGGACGTCATTGCCGAGAGTAGGAGCACCTCCGACGGACGGAGGATGAGTAGGGTCAAAGACCAGAGCAGAGGCGTAGTCAAGGTGGCGAGTAGAGGCAAAGTCAGCGACCGCAGCGACAAGAGCGTCTAGGCGCGAAACAGGAACAGACGGGTCGGAAACAAGAGAGGCAAAGACTTGAGGAACAAGAGGACGAGCTGCACGAAGGTAGTTAGACAGAGGGGGAGGCACGACAACAAGGGAGGACGGAGGAGGCGACGTCAGGAGGGGAGGACGAGACGCGTGGGAACGGAGCAGCACAAGGTGAGAGCGCGAGACAGTAGAGGCACGACGAGCACGAGAGGGACAGTGGGACTAGACGTGAGACGGAGGAGTCGGGTCAGGAGACAGAGGAGGAGACACAGGAGGAGAACGCGGAGGAAGAGGAGCCGGAGACGAGTCCGGAGGAGGAAACCCGGGGCCTTATACAGGAAAGGGGGCAGACGGTGGAGGAGGCACAGGCGCGCGGTCAGGGGACGGAAGGCCGAGCAGGCGAAGGGCTGACACCGGCGGCGACTGCTGCTGCGCCGGCACGATGGTGACACCGGGACCGCCAGCTCCTCTACGGCCAACTCTGGAACACTCCACTCCAGCACCCTCAAAACCAGGAACCTCTCCAGCACCGGTACCACCCCCAGGCCTGCCGGGACAGGCCACGACAGGAACCCCAGAATGAGCACCCTCCTCAAAACTAGCACCCCCAGGGTGGACGAACTGTTGCTGCTACGGCTGCGACGACGGCTGCGGGGACTGCGGCTGCGACGACAGCTGTGGCCGCGGCGGTGACTGCGACGACGGAGGAGGAGACACCGGTGGAGGGGCGGGCGGCTGGGACAGTGCCACAGGGCCATTAGAGTCAGCAGACTCCTCGACCGGGACAACCAACGGGAGGGGGGTGACGTGAGACACACCATATGGGGCAGGGCGGAGAGGGAGAGGAGCAGGGGCGACCGGGGGAGGGGGAACAAGGAACAGGGGGGGAGTAACTGGGGGACCTCGGTGGGGAAACTGGTGGTAGAAGGAGATGGACTCGTCAAAGGTGACGTCGCGAGAGTGAAAGAAACGGTGAGACGGCGTGTGCTAGAAGTGTCAGTCAGACGAGTCGATGGGGAAACCGAGGAAGACACAGGAGAGGGCGCGGGCAGTGAGCTTGTCCGTGCCAGAGGCACGAACGTGAGCAAGGCAGCCCCAGACGTGGATCGCAGACGCGTCACTAGGGGACCTGGTCCAAAGAAGGGTCGGTGAAACCTGCGGCTGCTGGGGGTGCGGCCACAGGTTAAGGTGGTGAGCGGCGTAGCGAGCGGCGAACGGCCACAGAAAATGGGGTGCACCGGCATGGATCATGGAGGTACGAGCCACCTCCATGACCAAACCGATGCGTTGCTCAGCAAACCCATTTTGCTGCGGGGAATCCGGCAGGGTAAACGTCTGGGTGACGACCAAGGACGCCGGAGGCAAACTCGCCACCACGGTCGGAGTGGAGACGCAAGACAGGGAGACCGCGATGCACACGCGCAGTGACCAACCACGGGATAAGAGCGTCAGGCATGTCCACCTTCCACTCCAGGGGAAAAACCATGGTGTAGCGTGTGTAGTCGTCGACAAGCACGAGGAAGTAGCGCTTTCGCCCCGACCCATGGACGGGGGCGGGGCCCCAGACGTCCATGTGCAGGGTCTGTAGTGGTGCGGCTGTGGGGGGGAACGAGGAGGAGTGAGGGGCACGGTGGAGTCGGCCCTCGATGCAGGGCGTGCACGACGGTGCTGGGGAGGAGGGCAACTCAGGGAACGACTTTGGGAGACCTAGGACAAGACCGTGGTGAGACATGTGACGCAGAAGCGGGAGCGCGGGGTGACCTAGACGGTGGTGCCACAGAAGTGTAGGGTGAGTAAGCGACCGACACGAGCAGGCCGTAGCAACCGGGGTAGACGCAGCCACCTGGGGAGATGTCCCGACCGGGGGGGGCGCGGTGTTCAGCGTGAACAGGCCAGACACCGGGTCCCAAGGGAACGTGGAGAGGGGAGCACCTGTGGCGGCCTCGGTACAGAGAGCGTACCGCTCGTGACCAGGAAACGTAGTGGTGACGCCAAGGTCCTGGAGGCAGCCGACACCAACTAGGTTCCTAGAGAACGAGGCGATGTGCAGGCCTGTAAGAGAGCCCGAAGGAACCGCCGGACAGGGAAGGGTGGTGGAGCTACGGGCGACTACCGGACCTGAGGAGGGGTCGGCAAAGGAAACTACGGCAGGAGCGGCAAGCGGCGTCAGCGTAGTGGAGTCGCGAAAGAAACATCAGGAAGCGCCAGAGTCCTGGGTAAAGGAGAGCACAGCACTGGCGGCCGGGGTCGGAGTGGCGAGGGAGGAGCCAAGACTAAACAAGGCAGGGGATCCTACGCCTGACGCAGCAGGGGAGGCTGAACTACAGCGACGGAACTTTCTGTCCACATGTTGGTCATGAAGTGGACAAAATCAGAGCCCATGAGAAACTGAGCAGGTTTATTATTTTCTGGTTTCAAGGTTCTAGTTGCTATTGTTATAGGCTTGTGTGACAAATAACATGTTGTCCAAAAAACACACCATAATAGAACATAGGACAACCAAGATCAGAAGAGGTACACTCGGACAGAATGTTCCGAGGATGAGCCACAGTTGAAATTATCAATATCAATACCGTGTCTATCTCCCCTTGGCCCTATTTCTTGCTGTGATCCTCCTAGGCATACTGTCTAACGGAGCTTCACACACGCCAGCCTCAATGCTATCCCAGGTCTCGTGCACCTACTCCCATGTTTGCAGCATGCCTGTGAGGGGGTGCTCATGCTTGGCAAGCTGCTCGATGGGATTGGGGTCAGGGGGGGAAGAGGGCCATTGCAGGACGGCGAAATCTTGCTCTGCTAGCCACTCTTGAACGATCCTGCACTTGGGTTTGGGGTCGTACAATGTACTGGAAAGTCATGCCAGAGATGGTTAAATAATAGAAATCAAGAGCTTGAGCCACCTCGTCATGCAATATGATGCGATACAGTTGGCCACCCGTGTGGCCATCAATCTTGCACATGTAACCAGGCACATCAAACGTCATACATACTCAAACCATGACTTTAAGTCGTCCAGAGTCCAGTCTAAATGGGCTCTAGCAAAATACCAACGGTCGCGGCCGTTGCGTGCTGATAGTTGAGACTTGTGCAGTGTCTGCATGGCGACTAACTCAGGCAGCTTGAGAGCATTTCGTGCAGTACGAGGCTGGGCCTTAACATCGTTATACGATTCCAGTGGATACACAGCCTTGATGACCGTCAATGCGACACCTAACATGATGATGTGCACGAAGGTGCGCACGCGTCATGCTGAGAGCAATCGATGTCGACCTGAAGAGGGGACTGTTGGCCTAGCTGCTAGATGACTACTGCTGTGACTAGCCTTCATAGCATTTTTTTGGATGATTCTTTTCCCTATTCCTAGCGTACGTGCGATGTGTCGGAAACTCAGACCCTGGCAACAGAGTCTCATGATCCTCTATTTGTGACACGAAGCAAACGGACGCGTGCCTACTGGAGGCTCACGGGGTAAGGGGCAAGCATTAGCGAAAGTCTAAGCGACTTTGCTAGCTCGTGCAAAACATGCTCGGCGGAAACAGATCCAGTCTCTGATCGGGTAGTATTTGTCCACATCGACCATCGAGCCTTAAAGCTTGTACTCGCTATTGGGAAATCGATATCTCCTAGCATTTGACATATTTGGAGGTGCATCAATTGTTTCTGCATAATGTCCATAGGTTCCAGATTGATATCTATCCATTTATACTTGCAAAAACATCGCGAACTTGCTCAACAGCGCCATTTTGCGGACAAATTGTTCCGTCGTTGTAGGCACACCTACACCAGGCAACAAGGGGTAGTAGGAACCAGTCACACTAGAGTCATCGACATACAGCACATACAAAGCAGAGCTAATCTCATCCATGTCCATATCAAATATCTCAACACTACGGCGAAGCAAGCTGTGTCAGTCGGGAAGGTCGGGCAACGGGCCGAAGCAAAGACGAAACAGGTCGTTTAGGCGACGAAAACAGCAGGCGAGGGTGTGATTGAACTTACCGCACACGGAGCCGCGGCGAGGACCTGTCTGGAGCTGGTACTGACAACGCCCGTCACCCGAACTACCACCCGATGGCACACTGCGCGCACGACCACCACGTCCACCGCCACCACCATCTCCAGGCCATCCGGGCGGGAGACCACCAGCCCGCCGCTGCTGCTGCTGTTGCTGCTGGTCCTGCTGCTCAGAGGCACCAGCCCCAGTCCCCTCATCCGTACTACCAGCGGGCGGCCTGGCTCCACCACCTCGTCCAATCCTTCCTCCACTACCGCCGCCGCGCCCATCCTTGGGGCGGCTTCCCCGGACGGAACTGCGCTGCGGCGGTTGTCGCCACAGCAGGTGCTGTCTCAGCGACAACAGCACAACCGTCAGAGAAAGTACACTAAGAGGGGGCACAACCCTGAAAGATAGTGACCGGCACAGTACCATAGTACCGCCTGTGTCACAGGATCGAATGTTTCGAGGAAAGGTTGCACTATCGATTGATACAAGGCGCTTTTATACTTCAAAAGTACATCAGGTAACCAGGTTTTATCCTATCCCAAGGGAATAGACCCTTCTAGAAAATAGAATCACCCTGCGTATAGCCACGTGAGGCTATTGGCTTTAAGGGATTACGGCAAGATTACGCCAGATATAGCGTACCAGTACATCCCGAGCCTGGTCGGTGATATAATGATAATAACAGGATAAACAATTCCCTAATATTCGAGACCCAGCTATCCTCTGAAGGATCATAACCCTTCCAACGGATGAGAAGCTCCACGGTGCCATTCCGTCGACGGCGGTGAGCAAGCACGGTCTCGACCTCGTACTCAGGTTCATGATGGACGAGGACGGGCGGCGGCGGCGGCGGCGGCGGTTGGCGTCCAGAGAAGACCGTGTCGGGATCGTGGTAGGGCTTCAAGAGTTGGACATGGAAGGCGTTGTGAATCTTCAAGGTAGCTGGCAAGCGTAAGCGGAAGGTAACAGGAGTGACCTGAGCTTCAACGAGAAAAGGCCCGCAGAAGCGAGGTCGCAGTTTGGATGGGAGACGGCTGATGTCAAGATTGCGCGTGTCGAGTAGTAGTCGTTCTCCCACGGTGATGGTGTGGTCTGTGCGGTGGCGATCGGCCTGGCGCATCTGTTGCTGCTGAATGTCGAGAAGGCGCTTGTGGGTCTGATCCCAAAGTTTGTGCATGGTCGTGATGAAATCATGAACGGGTTTGACTGTGGCTGGTATTTTTGGATGTTGAGGTGTGAGTGGGTGGCGTCCGTAACAGAGGAAGAACGGCGTCTATCCAGTAGCGGCGTGAGTAGCATTGTTGTAGGCAAACTCCAAGACAGGCAGATGCAGGTCCCATTTGGAGACGTCGTCCTTGCAGGCTGCGCGGAGGAGTTGCTCCACAATTTGGTTGAGGCACTTGGTTTGTCCATCTGTCTGCGGATGGTATGCGGATGACATCAGGAGTTTGGTTCCGAGTAGCGACATCAGTTCTTTCCAGAATTTACTGGTGAACTTAGGGTTTCGGTCGGAGATGAGTGTGGTTGGAATGCCATGTTGTGAGATGATGTAGCGAACAAAGAGTTGTGCTGTCTCCTCGGTGCGTGCCGTGGTGTGTGTCGGGATGAAGTGTTCCATTTTGGAGAACTTGTCAATGACGACGAGGATCGCGTCATGACCGCTTGTGGTAGTTGGTAGCCCGGTGATGAAGTCTAGCTGTTCTAGGACAGGAAGAGGCTGTAGTAGACCCGTCTTTTTCTGCTTGCTGCTCTTCATCCGTTGACATGTAGCACACGAGGTGACAAATTTATGTACGTCATCTGCCATGTGGGGCCAGTAGTAGTGTTTGGCGATACCGGTGAGCGTCTTATTGCTACCGAAGTGTACCGCGTACAGGACGTCGTGGTATTCTTCGAGTAGTAACTGGCACAATGTAGGGTAATTAGGTACCCAGATCTTCATTGATCCTTTTCGGTACGCGATGTCATTGTCCCACTGTAGCAGATGTCGCTTTTCTGCCAAGGGAATTTCGGGGTCGATGGTGTACCCATGTGTGAAGAGTCTCCTGACGAGTGGATTCATCCCTTCACAGCAACGTGTGCAGGCCGGCTAAGCGCATCTGCTTTGTTTTTGTGGCCGTGCTTGTACACGATGTCGTAGCGAAAGTGTGTCTCGAGGAAGTCAATCCACCGGACCTGCAGCCTGGAGAGGCTTGGTTGTGTCTTCAAATATTTTAGGCTGCAATGGTCGGTGTAGAATGTCGTCTTGCGTCCTTCGAGATGGCATCTCCACGTTTTGAAGGCGATAATGATAGCAAGGGTCTCCTTGTCGTATATCGGGTAGTTGAGTTCTGCCCCGTGTATTTTTTTGCTGAGGTAGGCAATTGGTTGCAGGCCATTCCCCTGGTCTTGCATCAAGACTGCTCCCACTGCCTGGTCGCTGGCGTCAGCTTCGATAACGTAGTCGCGTTCGGGGTCTGGCAAGATGAATACGGGTGCGGACGTGAGTGCTTGTTTCAGCTGCTCCACGGCTTCCTGGTGTTGTGGCTCCCATTTGTAGGGCGTGTTCTTCTTTAGCAGATTTGTGAGTGGCGTGGCGATCTTCGCGTATTGCGGCACGAACCTGTTGTAGTAGTTAGCAAAGCCAAGGAACTGCTATAACTCCTTCACGTTCTCGGGTGTCTTCCACGTACGCACGGCTTCGATTTTCTTGGGGTCGACGTGAACTCCTTGAGCGCTTACGATATGTCCGAGGAATTGGACTTTCTCGAGGGCGAAGTCACTCTTGGATATTTTCACGTAGAAGCGTTCTCGTCGAAGAATCTCAAAGACACGTCGTAGGTGCTCGACGTGTTGTTGCATGTCGTGCGAGTAGACGAGGATGTCGTCCAGGTAAACCACCACGCATTCGTCCAAGAGCGGGCGTAGGATATGATTCATTTCTGCTTGGAACATTGCAGGTGCGTTGGTGAGTCCGAACGGCATTACCAGATACTCGTACGATCCGTACCGAGTTCAGAAGGCAGTTTTGTGAACGGAATCGTTTGCCATTCTTATCTGCCAGTATCCGGACCGCAGATCTAGTTTTGAAAATACCGTGGCTCCCCGAAGCTGGTCAAGCAGGTCATCGATTCGTGGAATCGGGTATTTGTTTTTTATGGTCTGCTTGTTGAGAGCTTGGTAGTCGATGCACATGCGCAGGCTTCCGTCCGGTTTCGGTGTGAAGAGTACTGGGGCACCGTATGGCGAAGTGGATGGTCGGATGAGTCCTTTGGCGAGGAGATACTCAATTTGTTTCTGCATGTCGGCTAGTTCTGTGGGGCTTAGCCGATATGGTGCTCGGAAGGTCGGTTTCGAATGTGGTTCCTCTACGATCTCGCGTTGGTGCGTTCAGTATGGCGGTAGCTCGTCCGGGAGGTCGTCGGGAAGAATGTATTCGAACTCCCTCAGTAAGTCCTTGATTTTTCTGGGTGGTTCTGAGGCTTTCTCATCGTCATTCCTTACCTCTGTTGCTATTGCCAGGAACCCGGTACTGGTTCGTTTCACGTCCTTCTCGAATCTGGCGAGTGTCTCCACTGGGATATCTCCTGTGTCGTCCCAGCTGGGTAGCTGGACTCTCCTTCCTTTGTTGTAGATGCTTGCGGTGCGGTTTACCCAGTTGCTCTCGGGGTTGAATTTTTTGAGGAAGTCTTGCCCGAAGATCAAGTCAAGCCCTTTTATGTTGGTGATGGGGAGAGCAGGTTTCCAGCGCAATGGACCGATTTGTAGGCGTACACTGGTAACTTGCTGCCGTCCACCATCGTTGCAGAAAACGCTGATGGCTTGTACTCTTCTCGAAGTCGGTCGATGGTTGCCTTATCGCATACGGTATGCGATGCTACGCTGTCCACGAATGCTTGGAGGCGTCGTCCTTTCCAGATGACCTCGAGCACGAGGGGCCAGCGTTGCTCGGAGTACCCAAAAATAGTTTCATTGATTGGGTCATAGGGTACATCCCAATATTCGTTGCTTCCTACTCCTGAGCTGGCAGCTGGCCAAGGCTGCTTGGAGAAAGGCTCTTCTCCTGGGCACGGACTTTCCGTAACGACTGTTTGTGTTGTTGACGAAGTTGCCGAGTTGGATGCATCCGAAGGAGTTCGGGGTTTTAGCAGCTTCTTGTAGACCCCCAGCTTCCTCTTGAGCTGCTTCAGCTCCACCGACGTCTTCCCTGGGGAATGGGTAGTCGCTGTGGGCTGGTGTCGGGAGAGGACATTGACTCCGTGGAAAGGTCAGCTTCTTTCCACACTCCTTAATTTGGTCCCCAAGTTCTCCAGTACCGGTACGATCTCCATAATTTTCTGCTTCTTCTGGAGTCCCTCCCGAATTTTCTCCAAGGCTCTAGCCCCTCGAGAATTACAAGTTTTCATTAAAGCATCTTTATAAGATAACTTTAACGAATCCTTATAATTTCTTGGGTCTTCAAGGAGTTTCCCTGTCTTGGCAGAGTCCTTTTTCGCGGAGTTAGATTTTTCCTCGGCGATTTCCTCTGGCGAAGATTGGTCGTGGGGTGGAGATTTTTCCCCATCACTTTCTCCTGTTTGCGTCGAATCAGCTGCGTCGAAGTTGATTTTTCCAGAAGTCCGCGGCCGCTTTTGGATCCTTTCTTTTTCGCCAGCTAGATCCGCAATTACTAGCGAGTCTTGTTTTTTGGCTTCTGATTGGTCGAAGGATTTCCGCCACTGTTGCGTACCCGATACTCAGCGCGTGCTGCTTTAATTTTATTGCAGTCGAAGATTCGATGACCCGGCACCCCGCAAAAATCACACGTGTAGTTGGTGTTTTTCGGACGTGGCCGCCCTTCGAACCTGTCGACTTCCATCGGGTCGGCGAACGTGGGGTGAGCCGAGCGGTCGCCCTGTCGCGTACTACCGACGTGCGTCCGTCGTGTCCCGGCGTTGACCATGTCGAATTGTTCCGCGGTGGATACGACATCACTGTTGCTCGCATAGTTTCTCGCTGCCACTTGTCGTTTGACTTCAGTCTTCAGCTCGGCGAGGTACGACTGCATTTTTTCCCCTTCGGGCAGGTCGGGAATGCGGTTATAAAATTCCTCCATCTACAGCGTGTACTGCGCTACACTCCCAAACTGTCGATGGCGATGATTTTTTTCGCGGGCAAGGAAACCCGAATTTATCGGCTCGAAACGTTTTAGCAGGTCGGTGCGGAACTGCTGCCACGTGGCTTCGCCGTGGATGAAGGTGCTGTTATCGCCGATCCACTCGAGTGCCGGCCCTCGCATCAGTGTCGCCGCGAGTCGTACGCGTTGTCCGTCCCAGACTGGCGAGCTCCATCCGACGGCTGCGAAGTAGATCTCCATGCCGACGATCCATCTGCGGACGTCGGAATTTCGATCGCTCGGATCGAACGGCTCAAGTTGGCGCGGTTTCAGAGCCTCGAGAAATTGCTGCGACTGCTGCGTCGTCACCGTTGTCGAAGTTCGCCATCCTGTTCAAAACACGCGCGGAGGGGGTAATTCGAAAAATCGCGGAGCTGGTGCTTCCCAGAATCGGCGTCGAATTGGTCGCCCCCAGCGGTTTTTCGATGCAGGAGTCCCAAGAGCGCGGTCGAGTGAGAAAAGCTCTGATTACCAAGTGTCACAAGATCGAATGTGTCGAGGAAAGGTTGCACTATCGATTGATACAAGGCGCTTTTATACTTCAAAAGTACATCAGGTAACCAGGTGTATCCCATCCCAAGGGAATAGACCCTACTAGAAAATAGAATCACCCTGCGTATAGCCACGTGAGGCTATTGGCTTTAAGGGATTACGGCAGGATTACGCTAGATATAGCGTACCAGTACATCCCGTGCCTGGTCGGTGATATAATGATAATAACAGGATAAACCAAAAGGTTTATGGAAAAGAAGGAATAAGGATCCAAATGGAATCAGATAAAGACCAAATGAATCAGGATAAGAAAGAGGAATGAAATGGAAAGGAGAAAGGAATGGAACGGGGTCGTACTCTCACAGCCCGGGTGGCACAGCACCGGGTCTCTATGGTAGACAGGGTGTCGACAAAGTCAGTGAGGGTGAGGTCAGCGGGGTGGAGACTAAGGAAGTGATCGTGGGCGGTAGCAAGACGGTCAGGAAGGCATGTGGCAAGCAGGTAGAGGGTAGAGCAGATGGGTGGCTGAAAGACACGAAGCTGGGACTCAGTGCAGGCAGCACGCCAAGTCGCATCTAGCATGCACAGGTGGGCGGCCAGGTCAGCGACTGTGGAGAAAGACGCGAGATCGGGAAAGAGCATGGGCAGGATCAAATGACTGACGGAGGCAGCGGGTGGGGTGGAGTAGCACGCGACAATAGCCTTGAGGAACTCCGGCGCAGTCCTGACTGACCGAAACCGCGGGCGCTCAGACAGGGGGAGGGCATGACTGATCGCGAGCTGTGCGACTGCGTCACGCGACAGCTAGACTGAGCGGGCAGGGGCAGCAGTGGCAGCGGACTCATGGTCAGCAGACGAGGGGTCAGCGGGCAGGGCAGCAGGGGGTTCAGGGCAGGGGAGCGTACCGTCGAGGTGGACGGCCAAGGAGTGGCCGTCCTGTCGCTGACCAGTGAGGTGACGGCGGAGGTCGACGAGCCACGTGTCGAACTCGACCGGCTGGCCCTTCGTGTCGAAGCGCAGCACCGAGTCCGTCATCAGAGTCGGTGCAGCGGCAGATGGGCGGGGCAGTACAGTGCAGTGTGGTGCAGTGCGGTAGAGTGTGGTACAGTGTGGTACAGTGCGGTGCAAGGCGGTGCAGTGCAGTGCAGGGCGGTGCAGGGCGGTGCAGTGCGGTGCGGGGCCAGAGTGGGTCGGCTGGAAGGCGAGGCCGGCTGGGCGACGGGGCCGACGCGGCGACGGGGTCGGCTAGGTGACGGGGCCAGCTACCTGGCAGAGTCGGCTCGGTATGGTCAGCTACGCGACGGGGTCGGCTTCGGGACGGGGCCGACGACAGGAAGGGGCCGGCTAGGGGAACGGGCCGGCGGTGGGACGTGGCCGGCTACGGGGACGGGGCTGCGGGTCGACGGGGCCAACGGGCCCCTAGGGGACGGGGCCGCGGGGCCGCGGGGCTGCTGGTCAACGGGGCCGATGGGCCGCTAGGGGACGGGGGCGCAGGGCCGATAGGGGATGGGGCCGCTGGTCGACGGGGCTGAGGGGCCGCTAGGGGACGAGGCCGCAGGGCCGCTAGGGGACGGGCCGCGGGACCGCTGGTCGACGGGGCCGAGGGGCCGCTAGGGGACGAGGCCGCAGGGCCGCTAGGGGACGGGGCCGCGGGGCCGCTGGTCGACGGGGCCGAGGGGCCGCTAGGGGACGGGGCCGCGGGGCCGCTGGTCGACGGGGCCGAGGGGTCGCCAGGGGACGGGGCTGCGGGGCCGCTAGGGGACGGGGCCGCGGGGCTGCTGGTTGACGGGGCTGCGGGGCCGCTAGGGGTCAGGGCCGCTGGTCGACGGGGCCGAGGGGTCGCTAGGGGACGGGGCCGCGGGGCCGCTAGGGGACGGGGCCGCAGGGCCGCTGGTTGACGGGGCCGAGGGGTCGCTAGGGGATGGGGCCACGGGGCTGCTAGGGAACGGGGCCGTGAGGCCGCTGGTCGACGGGGCCGAGGGGCCGCTAGGGGACGGGGCCGTGGGGCTGCTAGGGGACGGGGCCAAGGGGCCGCTAGGGGACGGGGCCGCGGGGCCGCTGGTCGACGGGGCCGAGGGGCCGCTTGGGGAGGGGGCCGGGGCCGCTGGTCAACAGGGCCGAGGGGCCGCTAGGGGACGGGGCCACGTGGCCGCTAGGAAATGGGGCCGCGGGGTCGCTAGGGGACGGGGTAGGCGAGACGGCTAGGACCTACGGCGGAAGCGCTGGTGGGCGAAGGGGACCTAACCTACTCATGATACCATAACAAACCAAAAGAATGACTAGAATGTGAGAGTACAAGGCATTATAACCTAGGGGGCTGTACTCTCAAAGGCACAACCCTGTATGGTCTATAACATCACACACAAATGTGTTTGACACCAGCAACTCTAGATCCTGGCCACCCTAAACACGTGGTTCACTTTTACATGGTATTATGAGGTAGTGGAGTTACAGTAACCGATACAAGCTGATTTCGATTACGCCCTTCAGCTTAAGTCATAGATCTATAAGTAGGAGAATTCGTAGTTGAATTTCCTGTCTTAAGCCGCTATGACAACGCCAGCGGCAACGATGGTGGCAGGTGGTGGCGGAGCCAATGGCGGCGGCGGCTTCAACGAAGGCGGTGGCTGCGAAGCTCGCGGCACCCGGCGGCATGGCACGGCCCGGTGATGATCGGGAAGGGAGCCATCAGCTGCGGCTGGGAGGAGGGGAAACGCAGGGGAGGGGG